GAAAGGAAGGACTGGAATAACTGACCCCTTTCTAAAAGGTGTTTATGCTCTTTCCATAATTTGGCTATTGCTGAAAGTGCTGCTACAAACATTGGGGTACATGTGCCCCTATGCATGAGCACTACTGTATCCCTCGGGTAAATTCCTAGCAGTGCTATTGCTGGGTCAATGAATAAAGAAGATGTGGTTTATATATATAATGGAATACTACTTGGCAATGAGAAAGAATAAAATCTAGCCATTTGTAGCAACATGGGTGGAACTAGAGGGTATTATGCTAAGTGAAATAAGCCAGGCAGAGAAAGACAGATACCATATATTTTCACTCATATGTGGATCTTGAGAATCCTAACAGAAGACCATGGGGGAGCAGAAGGGGAAAAAAAAGTAACAGAGAGGGAGGGAGGCAAACCATAAGAGACTCTTAAGGACTGAGAACTAAAGGTAGATGGGGGGGTGAGGGAGAGGGGAAAGTGGGTGATGGGCAGAGAGGAGGGCTATCGTGTCATGCATTCTCTTTTTCAAGACACTTGTATGGCACTGCCATTCCTTACTGGGATGGAGCTCAGAGTTAACTGACTATGACTGTTCTTCCTGAATATTTTCATAAAAAAGGGACAGTTTGCTAATTTTAGTGAAGCTCTTATTGTTCATAAATTCTCATAACCTTTCTATTAGGCTAAAGATACTCATGTAAATAGAAAAATAGTAGACTATTTATACATGTCAATGTAAGTTCACTTTTAGGAATATTGACTATATTTTTGAAAAAGAATTAGAACTGTGAGATTAACACTTTTAACAGATTTACAGAGATACAATTCACACATCCTACACTTCACCCATTTCAGGTATGCAATTCAGTGGAGTTTAGTAAATGGACAGAGGTGTGGAGCAATCACCACTTCAAGATTAGCACACTGTCATCACCCCAAGGAGAACCTGTACCCTTAGCACCAGCCCTCTGGTCTCACATTCCCACTGTCCTAGCAACCTCCAATCTATTTTCTGTCTGAACATTTACTTTTCTGGACATCCCATATATAGAGAATCATATAATGAGTAGTCTTTTGTGACTGATCACTTTCTTTTGGGTAATGTTATCAAGATTCATCCATGTAGTAGCATTTCTTTTTATAGCATCTCTTTAACATGTGACTTTTCCATCGCCCCTTCCCGTGACCATATTGCCTGGTGTTTTCTCACTGCTCCCGAGTTGATGAAATCCCAACATAGAGGAAACAGCCACGCACATTAGCCCATGAGGTGATTTGTTTTTGCCTGGTTACAGCAGAGCAACAGCCCACACCATGCAGTTTTTCTCCTTCAAAAGGTCATCATTAAACTGATCAGTTGTTTGTTGGTTGATAGACACTTGTTCATAGAGCACTGGCCATGGGACCGTAAGATGTTAAGATGATCTCAAAGGTGACCTGTGAAGAAAAGTGGTTCTCTACTCACGATTGCAGTGAGTGCCTCCTTACCTTCAGAGAGCACGTTCCTATATAAATCACTCTCTCCTCTTAATGGGACACCTGAGCACTGCACTCCCCATTAGATCATTTCTCTGATATCATCTGAGATATTATGACTGTTACAAGGTTCAAGACTGTATCGTGTCCATCACCTATATAAGAAGACTACATTAACCCTCCTAGGAAACTGGTAATTGTCTCCCAAATGGACAAATGCAGGAATTTTGGTACTCACCATTCTCGTGCATGCAATTCTATGTGACTATTTGTGTTGTATTTTAGGCAGAGTGGTCAATGTGTCTAGCATAATGAGCTTGGTAGCTCTTAAGAACTGCGGCCCAGAACTGCAGCAGAAGTTCAGAAGTGAAACCATCACAGAGGAGGAGCTGGTGGAGCTCATGAACAAGTTTGTAGAAGACGTAAAGAACAGAGTGCACCAAAACGAGGGCTGGCCTGATATGCAAATACTTACATATGGAGTGTCAAAGATGGGTGTCACCGTCCTGTCCAGAATCCATGCCAGGAAACTGAGTGAGCAGAGGAGGGGAGACAGGATCCTCCTGAATGCCTGCTGCCCTGGGTGGGTGAGAACAGCCATGGGTGGACCTACAGCCATTAAAAGCCCAGAAGAAGGAGCAGAGACTCCCGTCTACTTGGCCCTTTTGCCCCCGGATGCCAAGGAGCCTCACGGGGAGTTTGTTATGGAGAAGAAAGTTGAACAATGGCGACCCCCCTCTCAGTTCCCTTCATGGCTCCTGTTATGATACAGTCATGATTTGACCAAACAGATTACACTGTCTACAATGTCCTTATCCACATCAAGTACTCACATTGAATTGGTTACTAATTCTGTGAAGTCTTCTGTGATTTCTTCCATGAGAACAAAAAGTGGAATTAATGACCATAATGAATGAACATCATAGATGAATAAACAATTCTAAGTAGATGTCCACATGTGCAGATTACCCCTTGCCAACCAGCCCAAAAATTAACAAAACCTAAGTTAGGTCAAGAGAAGGGACAATTTAACACAGGGGTTCATAAACATTAGTGAATGAGCCAGATGGTGAATATTTTGCCTTTGCACTTGAATGGCCTCCGTTGGACCTACTCAAATCTGCTGTTTAGCTTGAAAGTCACCATAGATGATATATAGACCCATAAGGGGGTGGGATTTCCCTAGCCAGCATTCTTTATCAGCCTCTACTATGACATTGGCACCCCACCACGGATAGACATCCACAGTGGTCTCGTTAAATATCAAAGTCATTGGAGGAAAAGGCGCTGCAAGGTGTGAAATGGGAGTGGGCACTAGAGGTGCATCCATAAGACAACCTGAGACAAGGGGGAAAAGGGAATATGGATTGGTATCAGTGCATATGA